GCCGCCAGAACTCAGGAGGTCCTCTTTGGTCCCACATACTCAGGAATTGAGCTTAGTCATATCATGCGGATGGAGGAGCTTACGGCTTGCCTCCATGGTCACTACTCAGAATTTGTGGCTATGTGGAGCACTTGGATAGATTTCTCCTTCTCTCGATCGCTTCAGGAATTTCTCTGAATTCTGAGTCCCTGTTATAGGGGCATGGTTTGATCATTTGATGTATCCCAACTAGCAATAAATATAGCAATAAAGTTAAGTGCAAAAAAAAAAATGTAAGCTTCCCCCCAAAAAATTTAAAGTTACAAATAAAAAAGAATGACATTTTTTTTCATTTTTTTCAAAAGCCCCCTCCATACATACATGCATGCAAACAGGCGTCGGGTGCGAAAACAACGACTCCGCCCATTACGCCGCACATGTTACATATCGTCGCAAACGTCGGAATGAGAGCAATATTTCTTGGGCCAACAATCACTGATAACACTAAACTGATGAGCTGTAAAAGCTTTTAAAGCATCCCCTATGGTCAATTTTGGGTATGGTAGTTTTTTGCGATTTCGCGGGTGCGCGCAATTTTAAAGCATGACATGTTTGGTGTCTATTTACCCGAGGTGACCCCGTCTTATATATTTTACCAAAAATATGGATAATAAACATTGTTTCCTAATGGGAGAAAAAACTTTTTTCCCCCAAAATTTTCAATAATTTTTCCTTAATATAGTAAAAAATAAAAACCCCAGTGGTAAATAAATACCACCAAAAGGAAGCTCTATCTGTCCCCAAATGGTGTAAAATTAATTTCTGTACAGCGTTGCATGACGGAATAAACGTCAAAGTACCGCAGAGCTGAATACTGAAAAATGGCCTGGCCAGGAAGGGGGTCTAAACACCTGGTCTTGAAGTGGTTAATAAGGGCAAATTTGTGATGGCTAGATGACTAGGTCTTTGCAACTCTACTATACAGTTGTTGTGGGGTGTTCCTGGTCTGCAGTGCTTAGGACCTACCAAAAGTGGTCCAAGCAACGAATACCGGTGAACCAGTAACGGGGTCATGGGCGTCTAAGGATCATTGATGCATGTCGGGAGCTCAAATGAGTGCTTTACTTTAAGAAGTGACGGAAAACCCCTTCTGTGGGGAGGAGCGCAGCAGGTTCCCTCACTAGAGGCTGCCTGTAGGAGTGAGTCTGTGAGTCCTTGTCTCTGAGTTAGGATGGCTGCATACAAAGTTTCAGTGAGAAAAACAGAGTCAGAAACCAAACAGTTTCTGCTGTGCTCTCTTTAACAAATTAACATTTAATACAGGATTCCCTAAGCATTTTTTTTTTTTTTTAATACGGAGCTTCTTATAAATTGATTTTTCGTTCAGCAATATTAGTTGTGGTTCAGAAATGGTTAAGTATTTTGTATGCTGTATAGATCATCTTATTTCCACCATTCTTATCTGTAAAGGCACCTTTGTGTCATCTTTCATGCATTAAATGATTGACGTTAAATCAGAGTTTGGATTGTCAAACTAGTTGAACATAGGTGACTGCTTTGTCTCCCATAAGGGTATTTTACCCTTGAAATACTAATCATTACTGACAAAGGAAAAATTCACAGTATGTCCTAAGATTAAAAAAGCATTGTAATCTCTAAACTATATTCATTTCTAAAATGTAATGTGCTTTTTTTGCCAGCTTCTTCTTTTTTGTGCATGTTCAGGTGGAAATAAAATACACATGCATTTGTATTGGCTGGTTCTGAAGAATGTAATTCTTCTAAACTAGAATAACAGAACTTTGATAAAATACCTTTTTCAAAGCTGCATTTATACTTTACTTCCATTGTCTTGTACTGGTGTTGATCACACTTCGGATGTGAATTTGCTAAACTTATAGCATATCGTTTCTTATCATTTTAGACACATGGTATTGATAAATATGATGTGGTGAAAAGCAGTGTTTTTCTTCATTTCTTGTGGCTCTTTATATATAATATACATTTGTATATATACAGTTTATAATATACCCACACTTAACCCCTTCGTGACTGACGACGTACAGTGTACGTCGCCAGCATCGGGGCTGTTTAAACAGACTCCCGGCGACTTTTGCCGCCGGGACTCTGTTTAAACTTGTAGAGCCG